GAGGCCTCCCCTGTTCCACCCTCCTCCTTGTGTTTCCTCCCAATATCCCACTTCCCCACTTACCTCTGGGTCTAGGTCACCTGGCGAACCTAGTATAAAGCCCTCCTCGCTAGATTAGGAAGCCTGCCTGCGAAGATGCTCTTCCCTCTCTTTGTTAGGTGGATCCCTTCTTCCTGGAACAACATGGTTGAAGAATCCAAAACCCTCTCTCCAATACCACCTGTGTAACCACACATTTACCTCAACAATTCAATGGACCCTACCTGGGCCTTTTCCTTCAACAGAGAGAATATGGTTCTTTCAACCCCAAATATGGTGATCAGTTAGACCCAACAACCAGAAATCAGGGAAAGAATTCTTTGTAGTAGTAAAAAGAAAAGGAGTACTTGTAGCACCTTAGAGACTAACCAATTTATTTGAGCATGAGCTTTCGTGAGCTATAGCTCACTTCATCAGATGTATACCGTGGAAACTGCAGCAGACTTTATATACATACAGAGATCATGAAACAATACCTCCTCCCACCCCACTGTCCTGCTGGTAATAGCTTATCTAAAGTGATCATCAGGTGGGCCATTTCCAGCACAAATCCAGGTTTTCTCACCCTCCACCCCCCCACACAAATTCACTCTCCTGCTGGTGCTAGCCCATCCAAAGTGACTTGGATGGGCTAGCACCAGCAGGAGAGTGAATTTGTGTGGGGGGGTGGAGGGTGAGAAAACCTGGATTTGTGCTGGAAATGGCCCACCTGATGATCACTTTAGATAAGCTATTACCAGCAGGACAGTGGGGTGGGAGGAGGTATTGTTTCATGATCTCTGTATGTATATAAAGTCTGCTGCAGTTTCCACGGTATACATCTGATGAAGTGAGCTGTAGCTCACGAAAGCTCATGCTCAAATAAATTGGTTAGTCTCTAAGGTGCTACAAGTACTCCTTTTCTTTTTGCGAATACAGACTAACACGGCTGTTACTCTGAAATTTGTAGTAGTAGTAACTCAGAGCCCTCCCCATCTAATCTGCCCCATTATCTTTATTTTAAATATTACTTGTCAAACAGGAGAAGCACAAAATCAAATGCTCCGACCCCCCTTGCTTGTGCGTATGACCCTGCATCCTATAGCTTTGCCTTTCTCTGCTAGAGCAAATAAATGTGCACTAGCAAACACTAGGGGCCAGATTTACACACTTGTCACTTGCAACTGTAAAGAGCAGCAGCCCAGAAATCTTTAAGAACCAAAGGGCCAAAACCACCACTGACTTCAATAGGGAAAAAGGGGATACACAAGAAAGCATTAATATGGTTTCCAAGCTCTTATGGGGCAAGTATACTCCATCAGCCAAACCGCATGGGAGCAAGAGTGGGTCACTCCCTCAGACAAAAAGAAATTGAAGTTGGAGTGCTTTCAGCTGATTCTAATGTTCTCTCTCTCTTTCATAGGGTTCAAAGCACTAAGAGCTTCATTTTACCAGATCTAAGGGCTTTCAAACACCAGGAAGATCGGATCTACAAATAATGGGGGAGACCTTCCTACATGGAGTCACTGCCCTTCCCTCTCCTCCAGCCTGTTAGGGACACACTCAGACTGGCACACCACACAGCCATTTCCCCTCCGGGCAGCAGGCGCACCAGAGCCCTCACATGGGCTTTCCTTATTGCGGGCGCCCTTCTTCCCATCACCAGAATCCATCTAGGGACAAGCAACATCACATTAGAATGGCTGACTGTCTTGTACGGGGGTTAGCCTATCTTTGTAACCCAGGCCTGTTCATGTGAGTCCCTCCTCTGCATGGGCATTTACAGGGCTGAAATCCAGCCCCCTCTTACCAGCATATGCACCAATCTGTTAAATTACAAATCACCCATAAATCAAGTTTAATACAGCACTACGCTCCTGAGCTATGAACTGACACCTGACCTACACAGCCCTGGCAGAGAAGTAAAATATTCCCCTGCAGAGTCAAGTAAAAGAAAAATCCTAACTATTTGAACAGATGAGGGTGGAAAATAAAGTAGTAGACAAATTTCCCCTTCTTTTGTACCTTAAATGTTTGGGTTTTAAGAACACTGTGCTGAACAGCAGTCAATATTGGTTATTTTCCTCAAGTTATTAATGTTTTAACTGAGTTTCAGTGGGTAGCTTAGAAAAATGTCTACAGCACCTAACAATGATGAAATTCCCCCCCCCCCCCCCCAAAAAAAAAAAGGTGAAGGCTTAGAAATGGGTTTGCTCCCATACTCATTTTTATAGCACATGAACACACTGGTCACTGAAATCATTCCAGGGCACTATAGCCGTGTTCAGCAAAGAAAATGTTTAAAGTCCTCATCTCCAGCTGAAACAGATTTAGTAAGTGTCCAAAGCATGTCAGCTGTAATCCACTTCTCTGCAGCTGTATATTTTAAACCAGGCAGTACCAGGAAACTGACACACAAACACTTATACAGCTGTGACACCAACTGGTATCCAAGCACTAATTCCCTGAATTACAGCAGAGCTGGCTGCAGTGGTGCTTAGATATTGGCAGCAATACCAGCTGGGCAGGCTCAAGGAAAGCACGTCTGGCTTTTAAGATTTCCTAGCTTTTGAGAGTTTGTATGAGTATGACACTAGTTACACATAGATTTGTGTATTACTATACACAGTGTATATTATAAATTAATACATACCAGAGATATAGTTTAGCAATGGTACTAGAGTGTTGTTTCAGAAGCAGTATATGGGTGCACCGCTAGGAGGCTGTTTGTGACTCATGGCGCAGGATACAGCAGCCTTTCCCCACTGCCTAGAGCTAATAGTCAAGGGGGTGTAAAGTGTAAATACAGTTTCTTTAGCGAAGGAAAGAATGGTTCTGAGCAGAACACGGCACAGGCGTTAAGCAGCTCCCCTCAGCAGGTGTCCTCCCCATTCTGAGCACCTTGCCGAACACCCCTCAGAGCAAGAGAATGTCAGGGTGCTGAGGAACCTGGCCAGCCACAGCAGCCAGCTGGAAAATCAGGCTCCTTTCCAGGCAGTGAGGGTAATGCTACTACCCACAAGGGATGAGGAAAACCCAAATCACGGATCTCTGCTGCAGTGGAATATTCCCTTTGCCTCCCAACGCCATCAGGCCACTGCTGCAAAGATCAGGCACAAGAACGACCCATTTGAGAGATGCTGCTGGAAACCAAACTGGGAAGTGGACTGGTTGACAGGTAATAAAGCTTCCTAAGGGCCCACCCCACAACTCTAGAGTCTCAGTTATTCTGAGCTCATTTCACATGGGAAAGCTTAGAATCACTAGCCCTTAAACGCCCTTCACGTGGTCATGGGGGAGGGGTGGCGGCACTGCTTCTGGGACGTGGGAGGAGGGTGTCAGAAATTTGGAAAGCCCTTGTCATTACCTGGGGAGAGAAGAGAGTTGAGACCAGAACCCCAGGGGTCAAATCATCCAGCATTCCAAGTCAGGACCCCTTTCCCCAGGTGTTCTGTCACCTGAGTCCAAGATGGTGGCGGTGGCGAAGGACATGCAACCCTTCTGCGACGTTGCCTGAAAATAGGATCACTGAATGCATATGCAGACAGTGTGGTTCAAAAGAAGCCTGCAGCTTGTTAAAATCTCGAGTTTTCATGCAAACCTTTAACTGGAAACTAAAGCAATCCTGCAAGCAGACGGTGCATGTTCCCTTCCAGTCCACCTATGGCACCCTTTGAGCTATAGGACAGGAGAGTAGACTCTCGCTCCAAATCCAGGAGTTGGCACTCCCACCCACCTCATGTTCCCCCAGCAAGACCACCATGTTCACACGGACCGTCAGCCTGAGAGCTGCTGCCCAGAACAGACCCATGGCCCGGCAGCAGCAACGCGGTTGCAGCAGCTTGCTTCCCTTCTGCCATACAAGGAGTCTCCACTCTTGGTACGTGTTGTAATGTAGCTACCTGAGAGCTAGATCCAGGTCAAACCATATGCTACACAGAGACTAAGCACAGTATGTAACGCAGCAGAAAAAGATTTTATCTTGTTCAAAAAAGTTAGTTATTTTGTTTTTTAAATAAAAATACAATTGCTAGCCATTGGGTCCTTTGTTTAGTGGGTGGTGGAGAAGAGGCAGAAGGAAGGGGAGAGTCAATCCCTTTTCCCCAACCCACAGTGCCCACATGCACCAGAGGCATCTCCTCAACACCAGCCACACACACACGTGCCTCACATCAAACCAGTTTCCTGCCCCCCAATCTACTCACCAGCCTCCTCAGCCCACAACCAAACCACTTTTCTCAAACCAGCAGTTCACCTGCTCACACAATGTCTCCTTTCCTGGGCCCAACCCCAAGCTCTCTCCTCCTCCCTTGACCATTTGCCCCACATCCGTCTCCTCTCCTGCCTCTGAAGCTCAGTGGGCTCTTTCCTTCCACAGCCAAAAAATCCATCGTCTTGTCCTCCTGAACTCTGATCCTAAGCTGCCTCATCGCCTCCCCTCATTACAGAGCCCAGGTCTCTCAGTCTCCAACCCCAAAATCCAGCTTCTCTCCAGGATCCCACACAATCCAGCCCCTCTACTCAGGGCCATGCTAAACATTTACACTCCCTAAGGCAGCAGACAGCTCTCACGTTCCTGGCTCCTAGCAGGGGTAGCCATCCCTTCTTCCACAGACAGCTATCTTTGTGGGGGAAGGTTCGGGCAGGACAGACCTGTGCTTGCGCAGCATTTCCTAGTGCTGGCCCTGGCCACCATTGCTGGTGTGGCAGTGCCATTGGCGGGGCAGCCCCACCCCCGTCAAAGAAGGCTGTGCTGTAAAGGGTGACCAGGCGAGAGCTACCAATGCCCAGAACTACCCTCTGATGTATGGCAACCAGGGCTCGTCTACCAGCTGCACCAACTTTGGGCAACAGTCCCCAGCCTAGAGTTGCCCCTTCCCCTCACTGAGCCCATCTGGCAAACAGCAGATTCCTCTTGAGCTGGGGTGTCCCACCACGCTCGGGTGGGGAAATCAGGCCAAGTGACAGAGAAGGGCACTCGCTTCCTGAAGGGTCTGAGCTTTATTGGTTTTACACAGCCACCTGGAACAAAGGCCTCAGCTCAATGAGGAAAACAGGGACAGGACTGTCGGCCCCCAGGCAGCAGTCAAGTTTCAGGCTGTGGCCCCAGGGACCTGTTTCCAGTGAATGTTTCCAAACTAGTGATGTCATGGCAACACCATTAAACACACAGGTCAGAAGGGAATGTCTAGGAGCAGCCAAGATGTGTGGTAACCCCAGCAGCTGGTTTCCACCAATGACTCTTTGGCCAAGCCCTTACTGAAGCTTGAGGATAAGAGTTCAGTTTCCTTCTTCGCTGTCAGACCTTTTCCCTTCCCTTTCGCTGGCTGAGTCTGTCTCTTCAGAGGCTATATCCTGATCCCCCTCCCCCTCCCCCTCCTCCCGAGCCAGCAGCTTCTTAAAGACCTCAAACTCCTCCAGGGAGGAGTGGGCTATCTTGGCCAGGAAGTCCCTTTCCGAAACGCCGACGATTTCCTTCAGTTTCGGGTTGACGATCTGGGTCTGGCCTTTCTTGTCAGGGGTTTGATAAAGCCCCAGGCGCTCTAAGAAGATATGCCGGTTCTTGACCTCAGCTATTGGAGTTCGGAAGAGACCAGATTTCACCACTGCTTTGTGCTTTACTCCCATTCTGAAGTGCACGTACTGCAGGAAAGACAAAGGGAGATAAAAATATATCCTGTTTAGCTGATATCAGCATATCCCAGGAAATACACTGGGTTGGAGCTAAGGTGCTATAAAAGTTGTGCTTCACTTTTCCTATAGACATACACAGGTAACTAACTAGCCGCAGAGAAATCTGAATCGAGGACTTCTAATGCACCTACTCTGAATGCTTAGTACTGTGCACACTGGCAGTACATTTACCAAGATACAGTCCCTGCTCCATAGAGCACTAGATCAGATACACACTAGGTGACGGATGAACTCAAAAGAAGAGCAGAGGTCTTGATGGGATCACTGCTGATGAGGGTGTTTTGAGGAGGGTGGAAGAGTACATGCATTAAACACAAATGCACTTCAGCTGTTACATTTTGGAGGTCATCCTTTTTTTACGAAGACTTGGGGGAGAACAGTGGAGCAGACACCAAGCAAGTAAAATACTGCAGCTCAGTTCCTCTAACCTGGCCTCTGTAAAAGAAGACAGCACTTTGAAGTATTAGCATCAACAGTACAGTCAGACCCAGTTAAGCAGAACCTGTCTGCACACTGCATGTGTATCTCCACTGAATTCACATGCATGCTGCTCCATGCAGGCCAAGAAATTGGTCTCTCCTTCAGATCTCTCAGATTGAGAGGCACGAGAGAAGCCAATCCCATGACACTCAGATGTCGGTGTGCGGCAGAGGACAGATACATGTGGGGAGATAAACCTGGTGATTCCCACTCTGGTTTGATTTCTCCATGTGCCACGGAGTTCAAACAACCAGCCAGACTTTCAGATGGGTTCATGCTACTGCAAGCCCTTAAGGAAGGAGTTCTGCAGCCCCCCACAGGCCCAGCCTCACCTGGAATTTGTACTCCAGGTCATGCGGTTCCTCCAATAGGACATTGGAGTAGCGATGCAGAATCTCCGTCACCTGATCTGCTGTGAAAATACACTTCTCCTTGAACACCCGCACCACTGCATCTATTTTCTTCCAGGACAAGGTGAAGATTCTGGGGCAGTGGCTCATCACTTGCTGCAGGTTCTCTGCGTCAGATGAAAGGGCAGATAGTGAGACATGCTCAGCATGCAGGAGAGGATGATTTACTGGGGACAGGGATTCAGGCAATGGAACTGCACAGTCAGATCACAGAATCATAGAATATCAGGGTTGGAAGGGACCTCAGGAGGTCATCTAGTCCAACCTCCTGCTCAAAAGCAGGACCCATCCCCAATTAAATCATCCCAGCCAAGGCTTTGTCAAGCCTGACCTTAAAAACTTCTAAGGAAGGAGATTCCACCACCTCCCTAGGCAACGCATTCCAGTGTTTCACCACCCTCCTAGTGAAAAAGTTTTTCCTAATATCCAACCTAAACCTCCCCCACTGCAACTTGAGACCATTACTCCTTGTCCTGTCCTCTTCCACCACTGAGAATAGTCTAGATTTGAAGCACAGGTGGATTGGTCTGCCTCTCCCTTCTCACAAGCAGCATATCACAGAATATCTGGGTTGGAAGGGTCCTTAGGAGGTCATCTAGTCCAACCCCCTGCTCAAAGCAGGACCAATCCCCAACTAACTCATCCCAGCCAGGGCTTTGTCAAGCCTGACTTTGAAAACCTCTAAGGAAGGAGATTCCACCACCTCCCTAGGTAACCCATATGGAATCAGGAGTCTCATGCAGGACAAACAGCCTGAGCCACCTGCCTCTCCCAGCAGGGTGCTCTGTAAACAGATCCCAGACTCTCTCTCAGTTATCCGCTAAGACCTGGACAGCTACCCCCGTCCTCACACTCACTGGTAGAGACCCCTCCCCAGAGCCACAGGTTTGCTAAGCTGCAGGAGAACAGGCAGTTTGCTACTATGTTTAATTAGTGGCAGAAGCATAAGGGGGAAATTTACAGCTATAGAAAATTAGTCTCCATCAAATGAAACACATTCCTGTCAGGGCCAGGGGAGAGGGGCAAAGAGCACTGCAACACACAAGTAACGCAGGGATTGATCTGTCAGCAGCAATTCAGTTGGGACAGAGATGCTTGGGATGGCAGAAATGGTCTGAAAACAGAAGCCCTGCCCCCTGGTACAGATCAGCATTTGCAGAGGGCTGGAGAGAGATGGCATACATTTCTGGGAGGTGGGGGAGAGTAGGCTGGAGCTGGGATAGTGTTAATGAATCTGCTGACTTTGCTTCCCATAACCCTGACTCTTTGCGATTTCTGGCAGCAGGAACTGCTGAAGCACTCAAGGTGCAAGTACTTTCACACTGGGTGATTATATGAACCCCACCATAAGCAGAGCTAGAAGCTGCTTGAGTTCTTGTTCATCATTTTGGTAGGTAACATCGCTCAGGTCAACTCTCCCATCTCTTACACAAGAGTTTTTTCCTAACATGCTGCAAGAGATCTGAGGGTGTGCTGCCAGGACACCAGAGTTAAACAGCTCTCAATCCAGCTCTTACTCCAGTAACTGCAGAGAGGGGATCATCTGAGGGCACCAAGTACTTTTAGCAGCATTTCAGCATTGTATCTCATATAAGGCAGTGAACATGCAACACCGTGTTACCTTCTCCGAGGTCCAGTCTCCGCAGGTAGTCTGCACGATGCCTCAGTTGCTGGGCCGTCATCCTTAGCACCTCAGGGCTCTTCTGCAAGGCCCTCAGTGTGGAGTCAGCATCCAAGCCCAACAGGAGGAGCTCGGAAACCAATGCCAGCCGTGTCTGAGGAGCCAGCTTGGGCTGCAACCCGAACAGCTCCATTATCTGGGCATTACTGAATCCCATGTCAGAGAATGAATCCAACATCTTCCCCAGCTCCGAGCTCCCTATATCAGCTTGTCTCTGCTGTGCCGCCAGGGACAGACGGACAGCTTCCAGGAGCTTTCTACTCGGTTCTGGCTCATTGCTGTCCTGCTCCCAACCAGCAGGGGACAAACTCCCACCACTCCATTCTGATGAGGCTACAGATGCCAGTCTACACCCACTACTTAACAGAGGGCAGAAAGAGGCAGGCAATCCAGCAGATGGAGAGGCACACAACCATGACTGTCTTGTAACAGGGGGATGGGTGCTGGGGACCAGCCTGCATCCCCACAGGACCTGCAGAAACACACCACAAAACAAGCTGATTGGAAAGAGTCAGTGTGACGGGTTGGATTAGAGAAACCCCCTTGGGGCTGCCAACTGATGTGCCAAGACTACTTCTGCTCCTGCTTTCCCTGCCCTCCCATCTTAGGACTTCAGTGTCCTGCCTGGTTTGAGCCAGACCCGCTAGCCTGCTGCAAACCCAGACCCAGGTCTGAACTACGTCCCCTAACAGCTGTAGGCTTTATTGAAAACAGCTTAAGAAGTGTTCCTGTCTTTAACACTCAGGTGCTCAACTCCCAATGGGGTCCAAACCGCAAATAAATCTGTTTTACCCAGTATAAAGCTTATACAGGGTAAACTCATAAATTGTTCGCCCTCTATAACACTGATAAAGAGATATGCACAGCTGTCCCCTTCCCCCCCCCCGGGGTATTAATACATACTCTGGGTTAATGAATAAGTAAAAAGTGATTTTATTAAATACAGAAAGTACCATTTAAGTGGTTCCAAGTAGTAACAGACAGACCAAAGTGAATTACCAAGTAAAATAAAATAGAACACGCAAGTTTATGCCTAATACAGTAAGAAAACTGAATACAGATAAAAACTCACCCTCAGAGATGTTTCAATAAGTTTCTTTCACAGACCAGACACCTTCCTAGTCTGGGCACAATCCTTTCCCCTGGTATAGCCCTTGTTCCAGCTCAGGTGGTAGCTAGGGGATTTCTCATGATTGCCAACCCCTTTGTTTGGTTCCACCCACTTACATATCTTTTGCATAAGGCGGGAATCCTTTGTCCCTCTCTGGGTTCTCACCCCTGGTTCTAAATGGAAAAGCACCAGGTTAAAGATGGATTCCAGTTCAGGTGACATGATCACATGTCACTGTAAGACTTCATTACCCACTTGCCAGCACATACATATACAGGAAGACTTACAAGTAAAACAGAGCCATCTACAGACAATTGTCCTGGTTAATGGAAGCCATCAAGATTCCAACCACCATTAATGGCCCACATTTTGCATAATTACAATAGGCCCTCAGAGTTATATTTCATATTTCTAGTTTCAGATACCAGAATGATACGTTCATACAAATAGGATGAACACACTCAGTAGATTATAAGCTTTGTAATGATACCTTACAAGAGACCTTTTGCATGAAGCATATTCCAGTTACATTATATTCACAGGTTTCAGAGTAGCAGCCGTTTTAGTCTGTATCCGCAAAAAGAAAAGGAATACTTGTGGCACATTAGAGACCAACAAATTTATTTGAGCATAAGCTGATAGAACCTCCTGTGGTTTGTTTTTCACAATTTTGCCTTATATGAAGTATCCAAGTCAAAATAAAATACATCCTTTCTGAGGTCTATTATCTAGTTTATGCAATCGGAAGCTCTATCAGACCAGAAGTCCAATAGTTAAGATGACTGAAACTGCTCCAGTAAACACTTGATTAAACAGACTACTACATTACAACTAAAAAAGAAAAAGAGTACATGTTAAAAGTTCAGGTTGCAAAATCAAACACTAATAAACTAGGAAATGCCTGGATTAAGGATACCCTTGCAACTTTAACAACAAGGAGTCCGGTGGCACCTTAAAGACTAACAGATTTATTTGGGCATAAGCTTTTGTGGGTAAAAAACCACTTCTTCAGGTGCATGGGGTGAAAATTACAGATGCAGGCATTATATAATGACACATGAAGAGAAGGGAGTTACCTCACAAGTGGAGAACAAGTGTTGACAGGGCCAAATCAATCAGGGTGGATGTAGTCCACTCCCAATAATAGATGAGGAGGTGTCAATTCCAGGAGAGGCAAAGCTACTTTTGTAATGAGCCAGCCACTTCCAGTCCCTACTCAAGCCCAAATTAATGGTGTTAAATTTGCAAATGAATTGTAGCTCTGCAGTTTCTCTTTGAAGACTCAGAATAGCAGCCCTGTTTGTCTGTATCCACAAAAAGAAAAGGAGGACTTGTGGCACCTTACAGACTAACAAATTTATTTGAGCATAAGCTTTCATGAGCTACTGAATGCATCCGATGAAGTGAGCTGTAGCTCACGAAAGCTTATGCTCAAACAAATTTGTTAGTCTCTAAGGTGCCGCAAGTCCTCCTTTTCTTTGAAGTCTGTTTCTGAAGTTTTTTTTGTTCAAGTATAGCTACTTTTAAATCTGTTACAGAATGTCCAGGAAGATTGAAGTGTTCTCCTACTGGCTTTTGTATGTTACCATTCCTGATGTCCGATTTGTGTCCATTTATTCTTTTACATAGGGACTGTCTGGTTTGGCCAAAGTACATGTACAAAAGCAGCTTTGCCTCTCCTGGAATTGACACCTCCTCATCTATTATTGGGAGTGGACTACATCCACCTTGTTGTTTTTGTGGATACAGACTAACACGGCTACCCCCTGATACCTGCAACTTTAGTTTGGCCCCCTTGTGCACCATACACATTATGAAAGTCTTTAATTCCATGATCACCTGCTATTTTTCCCACAGGACTCCTGCTCCATTCCGTGCACAGGATGGACAGTGCTCGCTGAATAGGTAGCTGTTAGGGCTGTCAAGCGATTAAAAATATTAATCATGATTAATCGCGCAATTAAAAAATTGTGATTAATCAGACTATTAAAAATAATAGAATACCATTTATTTAAAAGTTTTAGGATGCTTTCTACATTTTCAAATATATTGATTTCAATTACAACACAGAATACAAAGTGTACAGTGCTCACTTTATATTTACTTTTGATTACAAATATTTGCACTGTAAAAAACAAAAGAAATAGTATATTTCTATTCACTTAAAAGAAGTACTGTAGTGCAATCTCTTTATAATGTACGTTGAACTTACAAATGTAGAATTATGCACAAAAAATAACTGCACTCAAAAATAAAACAATATAAAACTTTAGAGCCTACAAGTTCATTCAGTCCTACTTCAGCCAATCGCTCAGACAAATAAGTTTGGTTACAATTTGCAGGAGATAATGCTGCCGGCTTCTTGTTTACAACGTGACCTGAAAGTAAGAACAGGTGTTCGCATGGCACTGTTGTAGCCGGCATCGCAAGATATTTACAAGCCAGATGCGGTAACGATTCAGATGCCCCTTCATGCTTCAACCACCATTCCAGAGGACATGCGTCCATGCTGATCACGGGTTCTGCTCGCTAACAATCCAAAGCAATGTGGATTTACGCACCTTCATTTTCATCATCTGAGTCAGATGCCGCCAGCAGAAGGTTTATTTTCTTTTTTCGTGGTTCAGGTTCTGTAATTTCTGCATCTGAGTGTTGCTCTTTTAAGACATCTGAAAGCAAGCTCCACACCTTGTCCCTCTCAGGGTATGTCTACACTACGAAATTAAGTCGAATTTATAGAAGTCGGTTTTTTAGAAATCGGTTTTATATATTCGAGTGTGTGTGTCCCCACAGAAAATGCTCTAAGTGCATTAAGTGCATTAACTCGGCGGAGCGCTTCCACAGTACCGAGGCAAGCGTCGACTTCCGGAGCGTTGCACTGTGGGTAGCTATCCCACAGTTCCCGCAGTCTCCGCTGCCCATTGGAATTCTGGGTTGAGATCCCAATGCCTGATGGGGCTAAAACATTGTCGCGGGTGGTTCTGGGTACATATCGTCAGCCCCCCATTCCCTCCCTCCCCCCCCCGTGAAAGCAAGGGCAGACAATCATTTCGCGCCTTTTTTCCTGAGTTACCTGTGCAGACGCCATACCACGGCAAGCATGGAGCCCGCTCAGCTCACTTTGGCAATTAGGAGCACATTAACCACCACACGCATTATTCAGCAGTATATGCAGCACCAGAACATGGCAACGCGATACCGGGCGAGGAGGCGACGTCAGCGCGGTCCCGTGAGTGATCAGGACATGGACACAGATTTCTCTGAAAGCATGGGCCCTGACAATGCATGCATCATGGTGCTAATGGGGCAGGTTCATGCTGTGGAACGCCGATTCTGGGCTCGGGAAACAAGCACAGACTGGTGGGACCGCATAGTGTTGCAGGTCTGGGACGATTCCCAGTGGCTGCGAAACTTTCGCATGCGTAGGGGCACTTTCATGGAACTTTGTGACTTGCTTTCCCCTGCCCTGAAGCGCATGAATACCAAGATGAGAGCAGCCCTCACAGTTGAGAAGCGAGTGGCGATAGCCCTGTGGAAGCTTGCAACGCCAGACAGCTACCGGTCAGTTGGGAATCAATTTGGAGTGGGCAAATCTACTGTGGGGGCTGCTGTGATGCAAGTAGCCCACGCAATCAAAGATCTGATATCAAGGGTAGTGACCCTGGGAAATGTGCAGGTCATAGTGGATGGCTTTGCTGCAATGGGATTCCCTAACTGTGGTGGGGCTATAGACGGAACCCATATCCCTATATTGGCACCGGAGCACCAAGCCGCCGAGTACATAAACCGCAAGGGGTACTTTTCGATAGTGCTGCAAGCTCTGGTGGATCACAAGGGACGTTTCACCAACATCAACGTGGGATGGCCGGGAAAGGTGCATGATGCTCGCATCTTCAGGAACTCTGGTCTGTTTCAAAAGCTGCAGGAAGGGACTTTATTCCCAGAGCAGAAAATAACTGTTGGGGATGTTGAAATGCCTATATGTATCTTTGGGGACCCAGCCTACCCCTTAATGCCATGGCTCATGAAGCCATACACAGGCAGCCTGGACAGTGGTCAGGAGCTGTTCAACTACAGGCTGAGCAAGTGCAGAATGGTGGTAGAATGTGCATTTGGACGTTTAAAGGCGCGCTGGCGCAGTTTACTGACTCGCTTAGACCTCAGCGAAACCAATATTCCCACTGTTATTACTGCTTGCTGTGTGCTCCACAATATCTGTGAGAGTAAGGGGGAGACGTTTATGGCGGGGTGGGAGGTTGAGGCAAATCGCCTAGCTGCTGGTTACGCGCAGCCAGACACCAGGGCTGTTAGAAGAGCACAGGAGGGCGCGGTACGCATCAGAGAAGCTTTGAAAACCAGTT